AAATGCTAATGAATACCAAAATAGTTATGATACTACTTAAAAATATGGCTATTTTGAGATTTTCGTCATTTTCTTGACTGTAGATTTTTAGTATTATTAATATGGCTCATAGCAAGTGTGGCGTCTAAGCAAAGTGGAATCAGAATATCAGGTTGTATAAAGAAGAAGCTGCTAGTGCGAGAATCAGACATATGTAGCAAGAATGTTAAGGCAATAGACTGGATATCTATAACCCTTTTTTTGAGGACGTGAGCTCGATTCCTATCATAGACGTGAGCTCTTAATCCACGACATAAAGTGTTGTCGATATGATAATAATTTCGCAAAAGTCTCACAATATTACAGCAAGCTAGATATCATCAATTTTATCAGATTTATTATTTTCTTCAAAAAATCTTAAAGATCATCACGCATAGTATGCAAATGAGACTACTTAAACAAACAATAGTATCTTCATCATACCAGAATATCTAATTTTTAAAAAAATCCTAAATGTCAATACTCTAATGGATATCTTTAATCAATAATTATATAACAAGCCGGTTCAACAATCTTATTATGTAATATATTCTAGATTATCCCATAAATTCACAAATTGTGAATCATTAACTTGAAATTTCATTCATAAATGACTAAAATCTTATTCCCAAAGAACATCCTGGTTTGTTAAACTGATTCCTCATAACTACTGTAATTATAACAAAATTATATAATTTTAGCAATGGAGAAGCATGAAAAGCAAAAGCGAATATGACGAAAAGAAACGCAACGAGTGGTAAAAAAATTCTTGGTTCTGAAATAAAATTAGTTTCTATTCATTTAACTCTAATTGTCAAGGTCAACGCTATTTGAAGTCCAGAAAATTTTCTGCTCGTGTACGCTCAAAATTGAATGTTGAAATGTCAAGTTGTGCCTTTATTTTATGAGATAATCTGAAAGTTTTATGAATTTATTGGCACTTTATTATTGGAATTTATAGAACACACTATTAATATCATAAGGATGGGAATATTAAGTGATATGAGCTGATTTTAATGCCATTTTATATGATGGAATCCTATTGTCATTTAAATCTTGTTCGAACCAGAAGAAGAATCGATGATTTTTACGCATTTTTGCTAATTTTATTTTATTTGGTACTTATCGATGGAATGACAAAGTAATGAATATTTTATCAGCATTAAAATTGATGGTATTAATGTCAAAAATATTTTACGTTGTGCTATGAATAGCTATAAATGTCTTCATAAAAATCTACGATGCTTGTCAGATCAGAATTTATTAAATCACGCATTGTGGTTAGCTGTTTTGAGTTGCAGAATTAGTGGCTAATTTTTAAAAGTTATTTTATGATCTAAATCAGTTTTGTCAAAACTGTGTGCCTTGGAATTTTTTAAACATTGACACGAGCCGCATGGTTTGTGCGACTTTGGTCATGGCTTACCCCTAAGGTGTGCCGTGGCTCAAAAAGTTTGGACAACATTGATCTAAATAGACATAAGATACACGAAACTCAATTTCTAGTCTTATAGAGCTACAATTTTAAGAAACTGGAATTTCTAGGATCGAATGAGACTCTTTAGTAGTTGAATTAGAATCTTTGGGGTTGAACAAGACTCTTAAGGATCGAATGAGACTCTTTGAGGATTGAATTAGAATCTTTAGCATTAAAGCTTGCTCTTAAGGATTGAACGAGACTCTCTAGAGACAAATGGAACTATTAAATATTGATTTAGACACACGAGAGTTGAATGGAACTCAATAGAGTCAAATAGGACATTTATCTGCCATTAATAAAAATTTTCTATTTTAATTTCCATGTAATACATTTCCTATTCCTCAATAAACTTCATCAGAAAATCACAAAAGCAGAAACTTCCTAGATTAATGAGAAAATGCACATCATTCATTTTTTATTTCTGATAACGTCAATTTCATTCTCATTATGAATGTCATTTCTGAACAAAATGGAAATATTCTTGCTGAGCAGAGCTCTAGTTCTTATCGCTGACATATCAAGATCAAGAATTTTGAAATGCTGCCTGGAGTGAACTTGGCCTACTTTTTTTATGACATGATAAAGAACATGATGGGATGGATGTTTTATAATTTATTTCTAATCGGTTTAGATTTACTTGGTTAAGGCAAGTTGGATCAGTTGAGTCATTTGCTTAAGATTTTTTTTTGGATTTGGTGCTTAATTACTTAAAGAGGAAAATCCTAAAATCGAAATTTTACCAGATCTCACATCAGAAGTCTTCAAAACTAAAAAAAAAAATTCATAAAAAGTCACCTTTAGAAAAGTTGTGGACATAAAAACTCAAACTAGATGTAAAATAGCCGGTACAATCAAATATTTACTGACCATGATTCAATGAGTAACTAGTTATTACCGCTTTTAATCTGCTTTAAACTCAGACAGCAGCCTACTCGTAGAAAAAAAAGAAAAGAGTCGTTGAAAGTTATAGCTGTATCTTGACTACAGAAATATCATTATCTTGAATCATTAGATGAATTTTTATTATTATTTTTTCTGAGTGGTGTTGCAAAAATGTGTTCGGCAAATAAATTTTTAACTCATCATTAAGTTAGTGTAGATTATTTTTGCTGCGGTTTCATTTCACTGATTATTAAGGGAAATTAGAGTAAATTGAAAATGAGAAATGAGTAGAGTGTCCATTTGTAATTTTGAATGGTATATTCTGAATTTTGGTTTACTAATGTTCAGGGGTGCCAGAAGGACAAGAAAACTTGGGAAGATTTAACCATCAAAACTCGATTCAAAAACGTGATAATAGTTGATACTCAGCATGCTCGTAGCCAAGGAGAGGGGGGAGGGATTTTGGTGACAAATCCCATGAATTTGACAGAAATTTGTTTTTTCGAAAACACCCCCCTCCCCCCCCCCCCCCATCTAAATTTTCAATGTAATTTTTTTTGGTCCTTCTCTTCTGATTGGTCCTGGCTACGTCTTTGATAGTAAGCCTTGACTTGAGAAGAGTTCACTTAATGATCAATATGACTAGTATATGCCATTTTGATCATGAAATTGAAATTATTCAGTTTTTAATGAAGTTAATCATTTAGTAAAGATTTTTGGACATTTAAAAATTGACAAAGAGCGTGAAAGGGTATGAAAATCCATTTTTAATTAACATCAAAAATCAACAATCCCCTAATGTCTAGCAATAAAATGTGATATTAAAAACTAAGAAATAAATTAACAGATAAAAAAGAAATGAAAATTTCAGAAACTCAAAAAAACACAATATTCCCTGATACTTAATCTTATCAGTCGACAATAATTTCAATTTATTTTCTGTGCGTATAGTGATAACAGCGACGCTTACTAGTCTTACACAAAGGAGAGACATAAATGAATGTACAGAAGTGTGAAGTCGGTTTGGAAATTTTCCATTGCAAAAATTCGAAAGTTTTCTTTCCATTCATGCTTGAGCTTTTCAATTCGTACAGTTTTTATTTTAATGCGTAATAATCGACACACTGTATGTGCTGAAGAAATTTAAATTTGCACGTGTATTTGTGCCTGCGTGTAGGCTTACGATCTGTATTGACGTTTTATGCAAAAAAAAAAACAAGAAAAAAAATTTCAGAATCAAAACAAATCATTGCATGAATTTTTTTCTACTTCTTGCCTTACTCTCGGTCATGTTTGTTTACAAAACAAATCTGAATAATTTTTTTTTGTTGTTTCTTAAAAATATATGCGAAAACGTACGATACGTAAATAATAGTGTAAAAAAATAACATTTTATTTTCTCACATGTCGTCACTCTATTAAGTTCGCCATCATCGTTATCTGCGCTCATACATTGCAAAAATAAAATATAAAAACTCGTATGATCGCAAAAGGCGAGAGAAAATCTAGTTCATTTATATAGCAGATTATATACTTCCTTAACATCATATCATGGCAATTAAATAAATTGTGAAATAATTTTGTGAGACGCATTAAAGTGAATTTACTCGAAAGAAATGGAGGCTCGATTCTGGATCATCACGGAATGACGCATGAATTGAAAGAATTTTTGTCACAACAATCTGTCATAATTGTAAAATTGTTTGTGGCTTCTGACACATACTACATGCTCGCTAATACGTAGTGCAGTTAAAAATGTGAATTGAAATTTTATCTTGTTTACGTAATTTTTTAAAAAGGTTCTAGCTTATGGTTTAATGCACGTTTTTCATATAAGGTAATTTTTGGAGACATGTTTAAGGTTTTGGAAGTTTTAAAACGCAATTTGAAGATTTCAGGGAGTCAAAAACTCTGAATATTGATTTAAATTTTTTTTTAAAAATCGAATTTCAAATTTTTTTCAATTTGATTTTTCAAAATATTTTTATAATTTTTTGTTGCATTTTAAATAATTTCGTACCAAAATTTTAATTTAAAAACTATTTTCATTCTTTAAAAAATTATAATTATTTAAAAATGAAGTTTTTTATAATTTTATTTTCAAATTTTAATTTTCATGAAAATCAATAAAATTAAGGATTTTAAAAAAAATTGTAAAAACTCAAAATTTACCAAGCCAATTTAAAAAAGCTAATTTTTTCATTTTAATAAATTAATTAATAATTTCGAAAACGAATAAAATGTTGTTGTTTTAAATTTATTCATATTTTTAAAGCACATTTTTAAAAATGTGATCAACAAAATTGTTCAAGATTAAAAATAAACTCGCACAAGCTTTTCATGTGTCTAATCATCACACAAAAATAAACAATCCCATATTTAAGTAAACAAAAACTAACCAACATTGTATCAAAAACAAAGAAATTCACTACAAAAAAATACGCGCAAAACTTCATTGATAAAAATAAAAATAAAGCCGGCAAAATAACAAATTTTTTCAAAATTTCCCATCAATTTACCGTTAAATCCAATCATTCAGTCGATGAATCAATAAAATTGCACATCGTTGCATTTGTGAGAGAGCAAGAACCTTATTACAAAGTATGAATAAATTGCTTACCAGTAACAGATTGCTGATTATTACATTGTTGATTATTTTCTGCGTCATCGCCCTGATCAACGAAATTTTCAGGTCGCGGCAATGGCCATGTGTTCGAACGTGCACGAATTTGCGGCTCAAAAGCTCCTTCCTGCTGTAGATCAGCTAGTGAATCCATTTGATCATTAAGTCCATCGATTATTGGTGGTGATGGCCATGGGTCTGAATTAAATTGATCCATCTTTTTTTTTTCTTGATTTGTTTCAATTATTTATTAAATAATATTTTTTTATTGACACTTGAGGTCACTTTGTAAAGTCCTTGGACGACTTTTTTTATTACTTTTATTATTCTTACTATTTTATATTTTAATGTTAAATGATTCTTTTTTTTGTGTGCTTCTGTATTAATGACAATGATCACACTTGTCTCTTTATGATTTCTTTCTTTTTGGCTTTATTTGTGTTGAAAATCACAAACACACACAAAAGTTCACTTTACAGCTGTTCTTTGTGAAACTTTCACATTAAAATAGTTTTTTTTCTTATATTTCTCTTCTGTTATCAATTTTTTTTCTCACACACTGCTTTTATTTCACAAAAAAAAATTAAAATTACACTTTTTTGGAGTTCTTTTAAGTTCTTTTTCTTAAATAACTAAAAGAAAGAAAGAAAAGAGAGAAAAAATTAATTTTTCAGTACACTTGCACTTGTTATAAATTAAATAGAGTAATAAGAACTTGACGGAGTCTTGAATGAAATCGAAATGAATACCCAAAAAGCGCAAAAATTAGTTCTCGTGAATATTGAAATTGGAGGTGTGACTGACTTGCACGATATCACTTTTTAAATAGACACAATATTTTTTTCGACTCTGTATTTGTGTCGAATGATCAATTAATTTTTTTTTATTAATCAGTTCTTCACATAAAACGTCGGCTACTTCAGTTTAATAGTTGTAAGCTATTGGAATATGTGCTGATAATTCACAAATGAAAACTATAATTATTATTATTTATTTATTGTATAACCAACAAATTCAAGCAACAAACTCACATTAAGTGAGAAATACAAATCTCATTTCATTAAATTTTCGCGCGAAGTACGAAGTTTTTAGCGAGATTTTTCTATAAGTGCTACGATTTTTGCCTTTTCGGTTTGGGTGAATTGTAGACATTTCGACTGATATTTTGATAAGGATTGCATGTGTGTTACTTTTAATTTTTGTATTCGTTTTCTGCTACTTTTTTGATTGTTTTGGTGTTTTTGGAGTTTTGATATTTGATTTCTGGACTCAGATATTTAAGAATTACTTTTTGAAGTGGAGAAAGACGCCATCTTGGATCCACCATTTTGAATATGCGAAATTTGAATTTTTCAATGCAGGTAAATTTTTATAGTATTTTTGAAATAACTTCAGCTTTAAATGTTTGATTTTATTCAAAATTCCGTCAAGTTATTAAGGTTAAATAATAAGAAAATTGCAATATTTTTAAAAATTAAATCAAAATATTCAGCAAATCATTCCACAAAAGCGCTCTGTATCCCCAACAACCTCATCGCAGCATCTTATCTTTCACTAGTCTCTTTTTTGAAGAATCGGTTTCAATTTAAGACGCAGTTTATTTTACATACATGAATTTTTCTCGCTCTCTGTTATTTTTTTGAAATATTTCTTCAACCAACACAAGTTAACTCAATTTTTTTTATGTGTAGCTTTTAAAGCGGATCGGTGTACTTTTTATCTCATTTTACTCATTTTTTATTATTTCTCTTCAAAAAAAAAGTCTTTGTGAGTGAGCTGAATTAATTTTTTTTTAAAAAAAAGTTTTATTCTTCTTATTTCAAGTCAAATACTCGTGTGTGATCATTATAATGACGATGATGATTGAAGTAGAAGAAATAACAAAAAAAAATCGCAATCGTGTATAGCGAGAATTCGGGAAGAAGCGAGAAGAAATAAAAAGAATTGAAATGGAATTAACAAAAAAATTGAGTTTCTTCTTCAACTTGATGAAAAAAATTTTTTCACAGCAAAACACGTGATCGCTTATAATTTGAATAAATTTATCATTTTTTTAACCGCTGTACATTGAGATTTTTAAGTGGTCTCTTTTTTATATTCTCGTATTTTTATAATCTATTGATACTATTTTTATGGACTCATTGTGTTAGATAATATCAACTTATGGGATTAAGATAGTCAATGATAAAAGTTTAAACTTGGTTTGGAAATTTTTCCTTAATCTTTAAAGATTATTTTGGATTTAAAAATTAAATTCATCAACTTTCTTAGATAAGCAACTCATTTTAAAAAAAACGTGGTAAAAAAAGTTCAAATCAGAATTTTTTCTATGGATTTCCCAAGACTTTTTGCAATTCAAAAAAGTTCGTGACGCAGTTAAAATTTATTTGAACATTTTTTATGACTATCTTGCCACACCTGGACACATCTCAGTGATGGAAAATTTTTAGACAACTTTTTTGTGTCTGAGGTGGATTTGTGTTGAAAAAATGAAGGTTTTTTGAATTTTTTTAATCATCTGTCAACGTGAGTTTCATTTATAATCGACGACTTGCGACCTTTGGTGATGAGAGACGGGATGATGAAGGATTGAATAGACTAAAATATGATTTTTGGTACATTTTCATTGGAGTAGCTTTGTAGCTAGATTAAACGACCCTACTAAGTGTCCATACTCAAAACTTCAATGTCAATTATTACAAAAATTCTAAACTCTTACGCCAACAAGTCATTTCAGTTTACATTTAAGTGCTTCATATTTACTAATTTAACTGAAACTAGCTGTCTAATCCATCATAAAATATATTCATCATTGACTGTCAAAATTTATTTAACTCAATTTAGCAATAATTTTTATAATAAATTCTAAATGATTTTCTAGATTGCGAATATTGCTTGACATAAAATTACTTAATTTAATTTGCTGTAAATTGACCTTTAAATTTATTTGTCTAAATTTATTGTCTTCAGGAAAAAGATAAATGCTTTGGAATTTTTCTTTGTGTGCTACTGCAAAAGTTTTTTGAATATTTTATTAATGACCTTGTACCTGAATACTCGTATTTTATTCTTTTCTTTATGGAAATGCTCAAAAAAGATTTTTTATCTTTTTTTGTTCATAAATTAACTCGAGATTTGAAATAAATAAATTTAAATTGATTTTTCTTCTTTTAAGATTCTTTTAGTCGGTCAGTGGAATGATATTAATTTTATAAATTTATTTCTTGAATTGCTTGATTGAGAAATTATGTTATTTTATGAATTTATGACTAATAATGAATGCTTTTGACTGAATTAAATTGATTTGAGATTCAAATATTCAGTAAAATGTCTCAAAAACTTTACTCTCAGTTCAAAATGGGGTGAAACTGATTTTTTCCAATCGACTTTGAGTTGACTTTTTTGAGTCGATAAAAATTGTCTTAATTTTTATTGAGTCGAGCTAATTTGAGTCAAGTCGAGCTAAATCGAGTAGAACCGAGTAAATTTGAGTCAAATCAGTCTTATTACGTCGAGCTTAGTTGCGTTGATTCAAGCTTAATCGTACTTAATCGAATATAATCAAATTGAGTCGAGCTTAATCGAGTTGAGTCGAATCAAGTCGAGTTTAGTCGAGATAAGTCAAGTTGAGTTGAGTCGATTTTAAATTTTGAACTTATCGAAGTGCTTTCAAATCGTATAATCTACTCCAATAAATAATGACAATTTTAAATAGCTCAAAAGTATTTCTACGAAATTTTAAAAATGAAAAATATCTAAGTTTAAAAAGTGTCTTCGCATTGAATAAAAAACTATAAAAAATTAAGTTTTTAAAGAAAAATTTGAAATTTGTCAAAAATAAAAAAATATTAAAAATCTTAAAAATAGAAAAAATTAAAAACCGAATTTTGTAGGATTTTTAAAGCCAAAATTTCATCCTCAAGTCTCAGACTGCAGCTGCAACTCAATCTAATTCAATCATCATGAATGAATGCATTAACTTAAATCGAATTTACGCCTTTGAATTTATAATTTTAAATGCAAAACTTAGTACGACTCAGCCTCACAGTCGCCAAATATCAAGCATTTATCTCCTTTTTGTGCTTAATCAGAATAAGATTTAAAATCTTACTCGGCGGATCCAACAAAAAAATATTTTTAATAAGAATCTTTATTTTAATTTTTTGATCATTCAGTAATTTTCCATAGCATATATACATAAACTAATACTCGAAAAGATGTGAGGATAAGAAGTTGCCTCTCTGCTTTTATAGGAACACATTAAAAAAGTGAATGTTGACTGTGGACTTTAGACTCCAAAAGAGGAATTGAATTTTTTTTAAAAATGAATATGAATCAAGGTGAATCGGAGATCGTTGAACTTAATTTGATGATAAAAGATAAAGCAAGTGATAATTTATTTGAATTTGATAATTTTTAATTCGGTCTGGCAGATTCTAGAAGCTTTTTCATATTAAATTGAGGTAGTCGTTGATTATTTTTGATAGCTTCTTTTATTTTCTGCATTTATTGAGAAGATTTTGATCCTGAGGCAATCTCAAAGTCATGTAAGGCTCGTGTAGATGGGTAAGTTTTCGATTTTAAAGCAGCAGGATTTAATGAAGCCAAAATCAACTCTGTGGATTGTCATTTATTTGTGGAAAAATTTGAAACTATCTAGAACGACGTAATTTACGAAAAAATTGTAAACTTCTCGATGACTTGGACTACAACCATTTTTAAAAAGGTAGAGACTAAGCTCGCTGACTTCGTCGCTAGAATTAAATGTTTATTTAAGAGTTTGGAAAGTTTAATGGTCTCAAGCTAGATCTGATTAGCACTTGAAGTAAAAAGTCGAAAAATAACACGTAAGGCTAGCATTGTATCAACTTGGTGCTGGATTTACATCTAATTCGGCTTCATCTAGTATTTTTAAGCATTTTTAAAATTGCTTGTCTTTCAGAAGATTCTGAATTCAGATTCAGTTCTGGGGCTAATCGGGCACCTTTCCCTAATATCTGATAGTTTTCAAATAAACTTTTGTAGGATGCCTCGAATGGGCATCAAAACTGACTTCTGAAGTGTTTTATCAGAAAGTACTGGCTCCAGTAAGAACCCCAAAAAAAACTGTATCCCTCAAAAAATTTCTTAATTCATCAAAAAAAATTAAAGCAGCATAAAAAATTTCAAAAATCATTCACAGCAAAACGTAGCAGCAAAGACAATCAAAAACATTCTGACTAGTTTATAGCACCACAATAAATATATTCTCATAAAAATGTCACAGTTCCTCTTGATTTCATCGCCTCTGTGTCCTTGAAATTCATTTTTACCTCATTTTTTTAAACTTTATTTTCATATCTTATGGATCATTATCAAACATTTTTGAATATTCAATCAAACGGAGCATATTTAATTAAATAGAAGAGCTCTGATTTCACTAAACACAAGATAAAAACCTGTAATTTCCAACTTTATAGTAAAATTGTATATCTAGTGCCGTTATCGTAGTCAAAAAATGCGAAATGACAAA